GGCGTTTATAGTTACAATAATGGTAATAAGTACTTTAGTTATTTCCTGAAGGGTAGTTTAAACGGATTTGGAATGGTTAAGTATGCAAATGGTGATTTATTTATGGGCAGCTGGACAAATGGTAAGAAAGATAATCATGGTAGAATGATTTTCGCTAACGGTACTATCCAAGACAGTGCCTAAAAGGATGAGAATTCCAGTGAGTTAACTCATCTTTTGTTAGCTCTTCTTTAATGTGTCTTTTAAGTTTGATACTATAAAAACAAAGAATAGAAAATAGATTAATACAAGACTAATTGCTTGAAATATCACAAATTTCATCCTTGTCGTAAATTGCTACAAGCTTAATAGTAGAATCGAGGTTTGGAAAGGGATTCTATGGACATGTGACGTTTCTTCATCTATTTGTATGTAATGAGATATTCAGCATATGCTTGTGCATCATGATAACTAACAAAAGCATGGCCTGCAGATGTCGAATCGAATCCGAGCGGTGGTGTTTTCATGGACGAGTTACCAGCTGTTGTTCTTCCAACGAGAACACGAGCGAGAAACATGCATCGTTCACCATTTGCGTTCGGTCTCGTATATCCATGACTATAATCGGCATTCGATGAAAAATAAACACCAGCTACTAGTGCAATACCTATGCAAGATGACAGAGTGTGCATATGGAAATTCCTTCTTCCTATAAGCGAGTTATCTTACCTTAGACGTATATCGTCCTTTCATAGTGTGATCGAAACTAGTCACTATAGATTTATATTCGTCGGATGTGGAAGGTACAATAAAAAGTTTTTGATTGCCTGCCGATTTCTCCCATGTTAAAGGTAATTCAGGATTAAAAGTTGTTGCAATACTCTGCTGTAATGTTAATATCTGTTTGCAGAACTCATCGTAGATGTTTGCTTGATTGGGTTGAGTGATGAATTTAACTGTCAGTGGTAAGTCTGTTTTCATGAGCTGATTTGCCATTTCTCTCACTAATGTTCTAATGAGAACATCAATCGGAACGGGAAAATGCTCATAGCCAATGGTTGGAAATGCAATTGAAGTAAAATTATATTGAACCACATTTTGAAATATCATCAATATAAAATCAGCAGTTGACTTTTCAAGTGTTGTTTCGTCATTAACTGGTGACCATTTTAGAAAAAAAGGGCTTTACTTAATAATTGACCTGCTGGTGTTATAATGATTGATGATGATGGATTCGTGTATGATTGAATATTGAATTCTGTATGAACTTCACAACATGCTAGATTCAGAAAAATGTCTTTGATAAGGTCAACCGCAAAGTTTCCTATGATTACGTCGATCTATAAGACAAACCTCGATGAGACAAAGAATTCTTCATAGCTCTAGTTTGCCACATTTAACTTCGTTATATCAACTTTTTCCACCTCGATGAGCCCTTTACCTATGGGCCTTGATACCGCTTGAACTTTCTCTGGTAATTCTAATTGCTGCAATGAAAACGAAGATGTAATATAAGTGTGTATTTGATTATTCCAGATGAACTGAATTTCTTAGGATGCTTTTTCACTTACAATCATTTGTTAGATGTTTGTTAGTCTTGTAAAAATGATCTAAAAGAATCATCAGAAGGATAATTCAAACAAGACGAGCATAAGGAGCTTATTTGATGTCCCTATTTTAAAAAAATCTATACTATGTAGATGGTCTGTAGAAAACATGCTATAGCATTTAAAATATCACGTTACAGTGCAAGTATTTCGTTTCATAGTTGTCTTATCTGTCGTTTTTTATTTGTTTTCCGTTTATTTATGTTATCTGTGACTGTGATAAATGCAGAACGTAGAAGAATAATGTCCGTGTCTGCAGAGCGAGATCATCAAAGTAAGACCGGGTTGAGCAGCTAGATCTGATGGTATTCCAATTGAAGTAGGCGCACAATATATACTGGATCGATATAGAAAATAAAGATTTAGACGGCATTTTTGTCGAGGTAAAATGACTACGTAGTATTAAAGACCGCTATAAATCGTATACAGCTGGAAAATACGATGATGATGATAATGAGTCTTGAAAAGTAGCTGTTTAATGTTGATATCTGTAGCAAGTACATTTTTAATGCAGTTTTACATTCAAATATCAAAACTCAATCTCTTTAGCTTCGTATAAACAAATGATGATGAATATTGATGGAGTCAGAGAAGGACAAAAGGGCGTATGTCTTTTTACATATCAAATACAGATGTATTCTGTCTCTAACTTTTTTCTGTGAACAATTAATAAAGACCAAAATAGCAATACAATGTGTTACAAAGCAAGATAGGTGACTATTCACTTTCATTCAGATTACTACATAGTATAGTGTAGTAATAGAAAGTAACGAGAAGGCAGTTACGTTTAAAAACATTCAAAATGATGACTACGAACAATGGAGAGGACGTCGATCGAACAGCAATTTCGAAGGCTATTTCATATCAAGCGATAAACGATTTGACTGCATTTGAAGCCTCCAGTATTCATGAATATGTTGCGTTTTGAAATGAATTTCAAGATTGGTGATCGGTTAATAACGATAAAGATAATACTTGTGTCAGATGCAATTTCCGTCTTCGTCACGGATTTGGTATGAAAACAAAACCAAAATCGTTCTTTTTCTCTATCGACTATATAGAAAAGTGTCATCTCCTATTAGTCATACATTTCATAGAGGTCACTCAACTGGATCATATTCGACGTAAAGAACTGTATTCCGTTCGCTTCTATTAAGTGAAGCTGACTGATCTTTTCTTTCTCTCGTCTTTATCACTATCGACATATAAATAGATAAATCGGCGTGTGACAACTACATTCATATCTCCTATCAACTCCTCGATTTCGAATGATCATGCAGATAAATAAATATCTAGTAAGAATACAAAGGACTTCTTACGCATACTTATGTTTACTGATGAAAATACGTCTAGATCATCTGTTGTGTTGTGATTGTTGTGGTTCACAGGACAGAATGCAAACCATCTAGAAAATTTATCGAAGATATCGACGACGACAATAGAAAATTGACGACCAGTGACAAAGGAGTCAAACAGAAGTCCAACTTCAAACGTAAGCGGAATTTCATCTGCATATATATACTGATTGAGAACCTAACGAAAGTTTGTATGATCTTTGTTTAGGCATTGATTATGACAATGGAGACCATTACGAAGGTGAGATCAAAGATGGAAAACGATCCGGAAAAGGTACTCTTATCTACGCTGATGGCAGAAAATATGTTGGTCAGTTTAAAAATGATAAATTCCATGGAGATGGCAAGTTTATTTGGAAAAATGGGGATATGTACGACGGCGATTTCAAAAATGGTAAGAGAACTGGATCTGGGGTCTACTATTTCCAAGGTGGTGATATGTACATTGGTTTTTTTGTCGATGGCAAGTTCGACGGATATGGTTTATACAAATATGCAAATGGTAACTCGTTCGTCGGCACTATGAACAGGGGAAAAAAGGATGGGTATGGAAAAATGATCTACGCCGATGGCAAAGTCAAATCAGCTTTTTGGAAAAACAATAAAATTGTTGCGTGAAATGGTAATTTTCTAAGCAAGCTTTTTTGCAATCTTTTTTGTTCGTATACGAGTAAACAAATAAATCTTAGAATAACTGTCTTTATAAAATAAAATAATTATACCATTGGATAGTTCTTGTACTTCGATTGACTTATGCAAGGTTATAGACGTGAGAAGCACATGATCTTATATCTAGGAATTGGCCAGTGCATTTTAGGAAATGTGAGATTCAAGTGAAAATTAAAGCCAAGTTCTCTCTTTTGATAAGCATTACATTCGATCACAAATTTGAGGTTCACTGAAGCTAAAACGCATTGCAATAGTTTCAATACCGGTAGAATGTGCACTGTTCACGTTGTTTATTTTTTCCTTGTTATCCTCTTAAACATTCGCTTCTATCCTATATAATCGATGATTCACTAGTGTTTGATATCAATTCGTTATGTTTTCTGTAAATCATACACGAATATCATATGACTTACTCCCTTCAGTTATTTTATCTTGATAAGAAGTGACCTATATCTTGCCTGACACGTATATGATTATCTCACACGTTACTGATCAATTAAAACGGACGATTTTCCATTGTCATACATACATATATACATTTCATAGAGGTCACTCAACTGGATCATATTCGACGCAAAGAACTGTATTCCGTTCGCTTCTATTAAGTGAAGCTGACTGATCTTTTCTTTCTCTCGTCTTTATCACTATCGACATATAAATAGATAAATCGGCGTGTGATGACTGCATTCATATCTCCTATCAACTCCTCGATTTCGAATGATCATGCAGATAAATAAATATCTAGTAAGAATACAAAGGACTTCTTACGCATACTTGTGTTTACTGATGAAAATACGTCTAGATCATCTGCAGCTGTGTTGTATTTATCCTACTTGGACATGTCAATTGTAGGAAATTCAAGAAAATTCTTAAACATAAAGGAGACGGTAACGAAGACAATGAACACTCCAAATTTCGACGTAAGTGGAAAACGAGACGTTTGAAAAGCAATTCACCTCGAAGAACTGGCAAGAGATAGATTCACTTCAGATAGTTTAGCTGACACTAGCTCCCTATGGCTTTAAACGGAAACAAAAATAAAGTCATGCACTTTGAAGCATATAAAAATTCTAATTCATTCTGTGCTAGGTGTCGATTATCCAAATGGCGATCATTATGAAGGTTATTTCAGAAATAAGAAAAAGAACGGAAACGGTACATTGATTTTGGATAATGGTACGAAGTACGTTGGACAGTTCAAAGATGGATATTTCCACGGAAAAGGTACAATGCTGTGGGCAAGTGGTGAGCGATACGAAGGAATATTTAAACAAGGTGAAAAAACTGAAGATGGTGTGTACTATTTTCCTCATGGTACGAAATACGTCGGCACATTCAAGGGCGATCTATTCAATGGACAAGGTGTAATGACGTGGAAAAATGGTGATCGACATGAAGGTGCTTTTGTCAACGGTCGAAGAACTGGAAGTGCCACTTATACCTTTGCTAATGGACGAAAGTATGTCGGTGAGTTTAAAGAAGGGAAATTCAACGGAAACGGTGTGCAATCATGGCCCAACGGCGATCGATATGAAGGAATATTTAAAGGTGGTGAGAAGACTGAAGATGGTGTTTATTTTTTTCTTGATGGTACGACATACGTTGGCACATTCAAAGGTGATATGTTCAATGGGCAAGGTATCATGATATGGAAAGCAGGTGATTGGTACAATGGTACTTTTGTCAATGGTGAAAGAACGGGAAATGGTACTTACACTTTCGCTGACGGAGGAAAATATGTTGGTGAGGTCAATAATGGTCAATTTCATGGACAAGGTGTGCAGACATGGCCAAGTGGTGATCGGTATGAAGGAACATTCGTAAATGGTGAAATAACGGGAAATGGCACTTCCACTTTCGCTGACGGAGGAAAATATGTTGGTGAGGTCAAAAATGGAAAATCCAATGGGAAAGGTGTACGAACATGGCCAAATGGTGATCGCTTCGAAGGAATATTCAAGAATGGTGAAATAACTGACGATGGTGTTTATTATTTTCTTGATGGTACAAAATATGTGGGTGCATACAAAAATGGCCTTTTCGATGGACAAGGTATTATGACATGGGCAAATGGTGATCGATATGAAGGAAGCTTTGTTGATGGCCGAAGAACCGGAAATGGCACTTATATTTTCTCCAATGGACAAAGATATGTTGGCGAATTTAAGAACGGCCAATTTAACGGTAGAGGTGTACAGACATGGCCAAATGGTGAGCGTTACGACGGTGTGTTTATGAATGGTGAAAAAACCAAAAACGGTGTTTACTACTTCCCTAATGGCGCAGAATACATCGGCCCATACAAGAACGGTCGATTCGACGGGCAAGGTGTACTGACATGGACGAGCGGTGATCGGTATGAGGGTACTTTTCTCAACGGTGAAAGAAGTGGAAGTGGTACTTATACTTTCTCTAGTGGAGAAAAATATGTTGGTGAGTTTAAGAACGGTCAATTCCACGGAGAAGGCGTGCAGACATGGCCAAATGGTGATCGGTATGAAGGAACATTCGTAAATGGTAAAAGAGCTGGGAATGTCGTAAGCACATTTGGCAATGGTGATGCAAAGTTCGGCTCTTTTCAGAATGGCAACTGGAACAGATTTAAAACGTTTCAGTTTCCAAATACGAATATCTTTACGAGCCGTTGGTCAAATAACCAGGAGTATGATAATCGCAGAACGAATTTAGGTGAATGGAAGCTTCTGAGGAACGGATGGTAGAGCAACTGATCCGTAAGTGAACTGTATTCATTTTTTATTTATGTATTTTTACATTTTCCTTTGTGTTCAATTATGTACGAAGTTAGAGTATGAAATCGATAATTTAAAAGATTTTTTAAATATGATGAATAAATCAATGAATTGTATGATTGTTGTGTTGAACATGCTAGATTTGACAGAGCTATGTATGTCTTCTCAATGACTGACATTTGAAAGAATATAACTGTTTTACGGCAGATGTCGTATGACAGCATCATAGTGCGTATTCGACACGTTGATTATTCCTTTACGGTAGCGAATAGAAAACCATCTGTCCTTTCGTACTTTTCGTTTCGCAACGGAACGTAAAAACAGGTTAAAGAGTTTCTTTTGAATAAAATTCTCTTGGAAAATATTTAATTAGACTATTCCGAACTAACGAAGATGCATTTCTTTCATCTTCTTGCGAACAAAACTCATATGTTCGCGCATTGTAAATTCTGTAGAACTTTAAATCTAATTAGCAGTCTCTTCTCAACGTCTGCACCATTACAAACATCTTCTCGCTCTTCCAATGATAGATCTATTCTAGTAAGATTACACTGAATCTTTCTGAACGCAATCGGTTATCTGATAGATTTATATTTTAGGATGAAATTGCCGATAAACTCCGTCATGCAAAGCGTGTTTTAGCTATTACCGGCGCAGGCATATCGGCCGATTCTGGATTGCCAACGTACCGTGGCATCGGTGGATTGTACAGCGATGGAAAAGAAACTGACGATGGCATGGCTATAGAATATGCTTTATCTGGCCAAACAATGCGAAGTAGACCAGATATTTGTTGGAAATACATTCATCAAATTGAATCAGCTTGTCGTGCGGCAAAGCCGAATGCTGCGCACGAAACACTTGTCGCTTGTGAGTCTAAATTTCCACATTTTGCTGTACTGACACAGAATATCGATGGTTTACATCGAGTTGCTGGTTCAAAGAATCTCATTGAAATTCACGGCAACATTCAACAATTATTTTGCACATCATGCGGCCATGATATCTACGTGAACAGTTTCGAAGGTATGAAAATCCCACCCAAGTGTCAACGTTGTGGTTCACTTGTGCGGCCACGTGTTGTTCTCTTCGGTGAAATGCTGCCCATACAAGCAATGAAGCAACTTCATGAATTTATGAGCAAAGGTTTAGACGCTGTTATTAGCATAGGCACGACAAGTGTTTTTCCATACATCGCCGGACCAGTAGTGAACGCCGCTCGAAACAATGCAGTTACAATTGAAATTAATCCCGGTGAAACGGAAGTGTCTGATGTTGTACGATATCGTCTTCGCGAACGGGCTGCCATTGTTTTACCTGAACTATTCAAACGTCTTTCGTAATTTGTTCTTATTCAATTGAGTGACATGTGTAAAACAAAATCTTTTTTCCGTCAAGACATTTCGTTAGAATAAAAGGAGTGTCTAGCGCAAACCAATGATCATTGGCTTGAATATTTGTTTTTCACCTGTTCGGTGGTCCAGCCTTATCTCACACGTGTGCAACATTTTTCTACCATTGATGCGATATCAACTCCATAGAACGTGTGAAATCATTTGTGGACTAGTTAATGTTTTAGATGACTTTATCTATTAAAATATCTCATTCTAAATTTCCGTCGTTATCGTTATCCCCACTAGTCCTAGATGATGCTTCGGAAATGTTCGTACACCTGAATGACGAAGAAACAATAAAATATTTAATCGGTCCACCATATCCCATAACAATCGAACAAATTAGAGCATATATTTCTTCTCGTCCGTTGGTCAATGGTCAAGCTTCGACATTCGCCATACGTGATCAAAATCGAATGATTGGTGAAGTCAGTTTAGTGCCTAAGACAGCTGCTGGTACTTACGAGCTTGGATATTATCTCGCTCGTCCCTATTGGTGCAATGGTATCGCGACTGCAGCAGTGAAGACGTTTCTCAACGAAATTCACGTAGATAAGAACACTCGAATCGAAGCCGGATATCTTGCTGATAACATTGCAAGCGAGAAAATTTTACTAAAATCTGGTTTCACAAAGATAGGCTATGAACAACGAGCAAAAAACGGACTGATATATCAAGGTGTGAAAATGGTACGAACGACTGTATCCTAAAGTTTTATTAAAAATATCTACTCTTTTATTTAACTAACGAGAAATCGAATGGTCACGAGTTTGTCTCCAGAATATGTTCGATATCATCTAATATAAATTTCAGTTCAATTTGTTCGACAAGTGAATCGATATGATCGACATGTGTTAGCACAGTTTCAGCGTGACTTGTTAATATTTTCATAGCTAGAATCCACAATGTTAAATTGAGAAATCGTTTGACTGCTCCCGAATAACCGTATTTCACAATCAGGTATTTCCATATTACTTCAACGTATCGATGTTGAATATGAATTATCACCGACGAAATAGGAAAGTTCGTCGATATTTTAGTTGAATACGAGCACGAATCTTCTGAAACAGCAAATAATGCTATAGCCATTTTATTCACAGTCAGATCTTGATCAATATATTTCGCTGCCCAACATTGAATATCAACTACATATTTGCCATATTTCATTTTCATGAAGTGTAGGAAATTGTTGAGATTATACAAATGACAATACCCAATACTAAAGACGCTTGTCATGCATGTAACATTAGCGACAGCGACCCGTAACACAATCGAACGCTCATGAAACGGTAGTTCCCTTAAATCGTGATTCATATGTAGGTAGTCCCCTGTTGTATCATAGATTGATTCTACGAACTGATTCACCAGTGTTTCGTAAGTTGTATAAGGCAGATGCGAATGATAATGTAAATCGTGGAGAGATTGACCAATAGTTAACAAGTGAGATTCCTTGTAGGAATGATGTAAATTCGAAAGAAGAGCCCATTGATTATTTGTTAACAGTGATTGATTCACTTGTGAAAAATTCCATACGGTTGGCTAGAAAAGACGGGAAAATGCAAGAAAGTCCACATATTTCTTGAACATTTTACTTGTCTTGATAGTTTAAGTAGAGTATTTTGTTTTGATGAACGAAATCGATCGATTGACATTCCGGATTGAAAGCATTTGGTGAGTCGGCATAATGTACATATGCGAATATTCGATGCATATTGACCATTGCAAGTGCATTTCAAGTCCTTCTAAATGAATACAGATGCAAAGATTGGAAAACATTGTTCTTGAAATACACAGCATTCAAGACGAACTTTTGTTGAAAGTGCATGTCTTCGGAAGAACATTTTACACGGATAACATGAGACAGTACCAAAATAAGAATATTGAGCTGGAGCATCACATATCCGACATTGCCGTGTAAATATTCTACTGCTCTTTTGTACTGCTCGCTGCGATGTTTGCATCATATCTTACCGTCGTGTGTGAGCCTCTCGTCAATGCAGGATTAGTATTAATATAAGAATAAGTATCGTTGTATTTATCTGTGCTGAGCAACAAGGAACGATAAATTATACTTTCAAGACCTAGAATAAAGGTCGCTCTATTTTCTTGTGCAGAATGGAAAAATGTTGGTTTCACCCTCATCTAGCTTGTGTAATATATTCATCGTACTATTCCAGTCCTCCATTTTATGATGAGATTAGATAATCTTCCTTTTTGTATCTTGTTGGCTATAGACCGAATAAAAGAATTTGAATACTACTCAGTGGCCGGATCACGTAAGTCCACGGGAAGACATTTCGGTTAATGAATGTGCTTGTTAATTAATATTACTCAAATATTCTGTGAGAAAAACAAGATCCATAAGATAGAATCACTTTTACTGATGATTTTTATAATTGAAATCAGGTTTTCTTACAGTCTTTCGTAAACAATATAATTATATGTATTTAATCAATTAACCGTACTAAAATCAATTTAATGAATAGATATTTGATCATCCATTAAGGACGTCTTCTCTAGTCATATTTTCTTCGCTATCAGAAATTTTACAGATTCCAGACGGCTGTTCTTTAAGACTTGAGCAAAGTATGAAAACGTTTCTGGATGTTAATTAAATTCTGTTTTATTATAGCCTATGAAATTAAACTTTTATGTATATCAGTTTTATGCCGAGATAATTATTTAACAATTATTTACTTCGCGAGTGATGTATACGTCTCCGCATGTTCTCTATATTTAGAACCAGAAAAAAATTACACCGAATTTTATATCATTTCAACGAGCATATCATGTGACTTGCTATCAAATTTCTATGCGTATCTTCTTGAGGTTATGAAACTATCGAATAAGAGTTGATGTGTGTATACATAAAGAGAAACCATCGGCGTCGATATACGTATAGAAAAAAAACGAGAACTACTGACATGTGTACTTCATTTTTACTACTAATATTCGCTCTTCTTCTCCGTGCTTCGAATGTGCGTTTTGGACCAAAGCATATAAGCGAACCATCGTCTCCTTTCTATGACACTGTTCGCTATATTCACGTAGCATTGATATATGATTGTGCTCGTCGTGATTTTACCATTGAAATGGTAAACTACGTTGCACCAACATCTTTCAAAGCCAACTGGGCAACTCTCGCACAAAGCGCTCTGCAAATCAGTCAATGTCACAACACATCACACTCTCTTCATCCATCATCACCACTACTACTACCAACATCTGCATCGACGAGCACCAACAAACTCAAAACATCCTGTCATCACTCCATCTTTGTTCACCATTCACAAGGAAACGATGCTTTCCACGGTTCATTTCAGCAACCCATGAAAACCATCCAAGCTGCACTCCATCGAGCCCGTCTTCGTCGTCAAAACACTCAAACAACACTTTGGATCATCATTCGAGCTGGCACCTACTATCTCGGTACCAACGCCTCTGAATCAACAACTTCCAGCCAACGAGGTGTCATTGCACTGACGAGTAACGACAGTAACATCGTTATTGAAAACTATGNGACGAACATGTTGATCTCGTCGAATCTGTTTCGTGAGACAGGTATCTATGTGAAACAGTCGTCGCCGGTGTTGATCTCAGTGAGTCGAAGTGTGCGAGTAGTGGACAATGTGATGTTCAACGGTGTTCGAGAAACAAGTGATCATGGCCCAATCAACACGTGGGATCGTCAAGTGTATTTATCAGATGGTGCAGAAGCAGGTGTACCTTCCGTTTGGCAGCATACAAGCTATATTCATCACAACCTTCTCTATAACAACTATAATTCTTTTTATCCAATCGATCACGATGACGGTAGTTGCTTTTACGAAGACAGTTATAATTTTCAAATTTATGGTGGAAAGAAAAATTACTTAGGTCATTCAAAGATTGATTATCACGAGATTTATGTCTATTCGGATTGTAGTAGTAGTGGTGGTTTTGGTAGCAATAACTGTCTGAACAATTATGGTGCTCAACGTGGGTCTAGCGGTTGGAATGAAACTTGGATTCAAAACACGTGCCTACTCTTCAACAGCACAATACCTTACAACCTTGATGGCTGCGATACTGCCAGCCTCTATGTGCCATATACAGCATCGAACAAGATTTATGTACCATCAACGACTGAAGTCACTTTCATTTGTAAAGTTAATGGTACTCGTGCACAACTTAATTTGCAACAATGGCAGTCGTATGGATTAGATCTAGGCACTACTGTTGAATTCACACCCGACGTGCAAACAATTATTGAATGGGGTCGTCAGATGTTACAAGGGCAAAAACGTTTTCAAAATGAAAATTAAGTCGGACTTGATAGTTTTTCATGATTTGATGGTTTCCTCGCATGATGGCCATTATATAGCGAAAATTTGTTTACATAGAATATAGAGAAAAAGTTTCAGCTCTTATGTCGATACAGTCACACGACACGTAACACATATACGTTAATTTTGTTGTCTTTGTGTTATAATCGCTCGAATGCGAGTATTGTTAAATAATCGCATCTTTGGTCGAATTTCTGGCAGTGAGCTGAGACAAATAAACGGCATGAATATGGTAAGGAATCGAAGGAGAAAATTGAAAACGGATACTTGTAAATCAGCTGCAAATGTTGCCTGACAGCAATTTTGCACGATACTAACCGTCGTTGCTGGCAAAGTCAAGACAAGAAAAAAACTTGATAAACTTAAAGATTGACTAAACATCCGACGATATCGTCGCCAAGTGAATCGATTCGTTCGTATATGTTGTTTATGTTTAATCACACGCATAATCAGAATTGCTGTTGCGCTCACTACAGTAAAAGCTGGAATAAAATTGTGTGCAAATCGTGTGTACAATGCCACCGATCGAATAGACAACGAGCATGGAAATCCGCAGTACAGGGATAACATGTTGAACTTATTTTGACAAGGATAAAATAGAATAAATATCATAGCTGCAATTACTGGATAAGCGAAAGTTGTGAGAAAGAGAGGAAAATAATGAAATAGAAATCGTTTTCGTTGTGTAACGAGTAATGTTGGTGCAAAAATGAGGATATGTTTTTCAATAGTACCCCAGGCCATTGTCCAGTAAGTAGAAACTACGAACATGGAGTTGAAAAAATTCCACACGAGACATGTAGCGTCAGTCGATGGTGTAACATGATTCGTACGCAGATAATTTAACGTCAAAGGATGATTGAAGAATGCATCCAGAATTGATATAATCAACAAGAGTAAACATGTGTGATTATGAACTGCCGTACGAAGATTACGATCGAATAATAATCGTACCAATGTATAAAGAGAACAGATGATCGATGGAATAAGACATGTTTGCAAAATTATATATTTGATATTATTCCAAGGATCCGGAGTCGACTTTGTTGATGTCGTATTGGACATGTTGTGCGAAGAGGTAGATGGTGTAGCTGCCTTCGTTTATATACTATGCTTTAGAATTATTATTCCGCTGCAAACTTAATTATCTTCTTCTACTATGTAAAAATGTTCTAATTTAACAATTAGTGGTTACGACATCAAAATTGTCACGTACGTGCAGAAATTATGCGATATTCTTGGCAAGATTAGGTCATGCTGAAATGGAAAATCTGGTGTTCTATGTGATTCATACGATGATAAAACGTTCGGCGGATGAAAAGCTAAACAGATGTTTCTTCTTTCTTTTTATGTCGGTATTTTAGTTCTACACGCACGATAGAATTCAAAAACCAATTAAGCTATTCTGCACTTTACTCGACAAATTTATGTCAGCTCGATACTGTGGAGAAAATGCATTCTGAGCACAAACCATGTCTAACGTTGGAAAATGTACGTTTTAATTCATCACGAACTGCTTTTTACACTGAGATATACACACGATAACTGATAAACTACACGTTGCACTCGGATGATTAAACTCCAGATATATTGTCTTAAGCACGGTAAGTACAATTGGATTTAATAGAGCTGATATTATTACATACTGTAAGAATAAAAGAACAAAAGAAAAAACTAAATAGGGCGTTCCGCATTTATTCAATTGATAGGATACAGTCATCGTATTTAAAATTAAAAAAAAAGTTATGCAAGCAATGTTATAAAAACGATCATCCAAATACTATTGATGGAAAATCGCATACCAGAATTCACTGGTTTTTGTGTGTTTGGACTTTCCGTTGTAGTTGTTGTTTTGGCATCATTCTCAATGTCAGTTGTAACTAATTCGACATAGTCATCCAACACATGTACCTCTGCTTCATATTTTTCTTGCATTTGAACAACAGTCACATCGTTGGTAATTAAAATATCATAAATGCATTGTTGTTCATGAGTCAGATTGCGACAAGCTTCCGCGGCCAGTCGATACCGTTCGGTGCTAGCATATTTTTCGAACAAATCTTCTTGAAACATCGGACGATAGGTTAAATCTTGATGTTCAGCATGACTGTCTTGCAAACGATAGTAGAAGAGTGTAGACTCATTGGTCGTTCGCCACGATTCTCCATAGTCGAAGAGTGCTCTGTCATCATTTAAACTAGCTGATACATTCGTTCCATTCGAATATGTTAAACCATTGAAACCACCAAGTATACCTTGAAATACGCTGTTCTGTTTGAATGTCTTGGGAATGATCGAAGACAAATCGAGAAAATCATATTGTGGTCGAACATGAGCGATGAATTGTATTTCACTTTCGCCGTAGGAAATACTATAACTATTGATGTCACGCTGTCGAATAACCAATTGTCGATCATCGGCATAGATCAATGATGACGACTGAAGCTCTTCTTCGCTGGTTAGTGGTGTAAATTCAATTAATTTTCCATTAACATGAATTTCCATTGATTTCAATGCAGGAAGTAATTCAAATTGGACGCGTGGTTGATCATCATTGTAAATAACAAATGCTACGATAGCTGTTGCGCTGTCCATGGATGATGATGCTGACATCGAATTTGTTGTTTCATTGGTTAATCGAGCAAGTCGTACTTGAACATGAAATGTGTTGTCGGAACTTTTAACCAATGTGTATTCACCGTGTCCATTGAACGTGTAAGATTTGCCATTCAAGGTAGAGAAATGTGGATCACCACGTCCGCCAGTAGGTGGCATGGGCAGAAGATTGACGCAAGAGCCAGCAGGTCGATATCTCGTGTATTGAGAACATGTCGCAAGTATTTCAGTTGCGATCCCGCAGCATGAAAAGTAGGGCAGAAAATCAGTAAAGAAATGTTGATATGTAGATAGTGCTTTCATCGTGTCTGGAAAATGTGCCTTCATTGAACCACTACCTTGTTGTATTTCGGAAATAAGAGCACCAGCAGTATCATAGCAACAATGCGCACCGCCATCGCTGTTGGGCGATTTTCTTTGATAACATGCTCGACCTCGAGGTTTATTGTATTGACAATTCCATGGGCTTGACTTGCGACCATGACAGACAGGATCAGCACTAAATCCAAACTGTTCGTCAGCCCATGTATTCAGCACTCGACATGGACATGACGGAACACGACTTGTTAGGTTCCGTGTGATTGCATCAGATTGTAGAGTGAGCCAGGTTGAACAATACGACGTCAGCATTGCATACGGGACAATAAATGTGCGTGTGATGAATTTTTGTGCGCCTTTCCATGTGTATCCTTCTGTTGTAGTTGTGTTTGGTCGAATAAGTTCGAATGAAAAATCTAACAAATGAACTTGATCGACGGGAACGCCAGTGATAGGAAATATCGATTGAAAATTGATCGTTAAATTGTTCAAGCTGGAAAGGTTCAGTAAACCAAGTGGCAGATCGATGCGTCGTGTAGATAAATTATAAAATTGATTGCTACTAGCGACATATTGTGTACTGTAATCGTAGATGACAAGTCGAAATAAATTATGTGTTGTAAGATTGTTTTTGAGAAACTGTAAATCGAAACGGCGATCTTGAATCGTTCGAGGTTTATTAATCAAATCACCATGATTGAAGAGTATCACATCACCATTCATTTCCGGCATGAAGGATAAAAAGTCTGTCTGTCCGATTAATTGTCGGTCAGACCGAAGGACTTCGATTTGAAGTCGACCTTCAGATACCATTGGCATTGTGCATGTGATAAAAACTGATGTGACTTGACAGTCGTCGAGTGGTTGACCATTGACTTCAACAATGTAATGTTTATCAGGAAAACAAACTCCAAACAGTCGAAATTGATAACCACCATGCATAGAACCACGAAACGGTGAACTTTGTAAACCTTGGGTTGTATTACACTCTACCTTGCTAATGTTACCATTCGTAAGAAAGATAAATTGACCGGGAATACCAACATTGGATTGTTGTGTAATATAGACAATGTCAGCTGAAAACGAGTCTTCTACAGTAAAGTAATTGAGTTGATCACCTGCATTGAAACCCACTTGAGGATAACCGCCCCATGCTCCAGCGGACCATTGGATTTGATTGTACGTAAAAATAGTGAATGAATAGATTCCGTTGGTTGCGATGATTGCCTATGAATTGAGAGGAAAAAAGCAACAGAAACAATGAGTAAGAATTGCAGGAACTTACTTGAAATGTGTTCCGACCGGGATCTACGGCATGACCAGCAACTCGATACCACGTCACGACGAAAGCCCATAACATTCGGCTAGCCGACAGTAGAGGATATCCATTTTTAATCATAGCTGAAATTTGAGTCAATGTACTCTCATCCAGGATTTCTCGGTAGAAGATGTTGCTAAATGAATCTTTTGTAAGATCTGTATCTGCCCAATATGGTGCAGCACATACGAAATCTTTCAATGGAAAAGGACCAGGTGGATTATGTGGTAATGCATAGGTAACATTTCCAAAAAGAATCAAGCCATGACTGTATACTCGGATGACATTGTACCACTTGCCAAAGAATGGAAAGCGAACGTTGATACTGATTGGCCCTGTTACAGAATCTAGCGGACGTGGCATAGCTGCATCCCCATTAGATGCATCGAACAGTATAAAGTTCTTGATGGTGCTTTGACCATACGCTATTTGTAATAGCACGACGCACAGAAAGAGTTTTAGAAGCATTTATTATTCGTCTTCTGAAACAAGAGATTTTTACATTGTCTTTTATAAATACATCCAATAGTTTATCAGACGATGTTGAATGTTTGCCAACGATAATTTATCTCTGCGCGCTATTTACGTAACGTCGAATCTTCTCCCGAACTCCGCCGTCGAAAACGAAGTTTCTAGGGCAAGGTGAGAGTGCGCGTTGTTTTCGGTAAAAAGACGAATTTCAGCGAAAGAAAGATTTTTGAAATGAAAGATAAAGCTAAACTACGACGTTTTTTTTTAATTTTTTACTTTACTTCCTTACATCAGAAACTGTCGTAAACACGCAATATTATCACAAGTGGACTGCTTCTGCAGCGAATTTTATGGGTCTTTGTGTTAGTCTATATATAAAACCATGTATGCAAAGTAAAAGAAAGTGCTCAACACATTACTCAGTCTAGAAAGAAAGAGCGAAGCTATGGGTCTCTGGGACGAGATGATGGATTTGTTAGACAGTGTTAAGTGCTGATGTAATCAATATTCCGTAGATAATGGACAAGCATTTAAATATGACAAGCTACATTTCTTTAGATTTCCATGACTAACAGTGCGCCTATCCAAACAAGTGTCAAGTCTACTACACCACTTTTATTTATTTATCACAAAAAAATCAAACACAAACGATTTCATTGACAATCAAAGCTAAAATAACAGTTCCATCTGTTGTGTATCGATTCATAATCAGTGATACTGCAACGAACATACGCATACCACTGATTTCAGAACCCGCAGCTTTGCACATAGTAGAATCTTTGTTTACACACGCTGTCTTACATATTTCATCAGTACATCCAACTAATGGAAACATAGGTACACAAGGATCTGTGCATGTTTTACCTTAGCAACACATACACATGCATTGTTACTAGGACAGCCAAAACACGTATCAATTCAATACTCAATTATATTCTCCCAATGCGACAAAATGATGTTGAGAGAAACTAATGTGTTTCATTTTCATTTACTTTTCAAAACTAAAATAAGCGAGTATGATAAGATAAAAGCCTCACAAAGTGAAGAGATGTATACAGGCATCAACAGTTTCTAGGTGTACTTGTTTACAGGCTAAGGTAAAGAGATTACGCTACTCGTTTGCTTATCAATAAAAAGAACATGAAGAAAAGGCTGACCCGACAAGATAAAAAAAAAAGAAAGTTCCATCTTTCGTTTTGAATTTTAAGGAAGATTTTCTGCTTTAGATAATCATCTTTATTTAAGCTTCCGAAGAAAACGATCACTTTTAGTCTAGCTAATCAAAAAGATAACCAAGACATACAGCTTCAATTTTTACAATAGTTATTGGAAAATTCTTTTTCTTTCATCACTATGTGTTTGATCTTATCTACTAACTAGTAGCTATAAAAGCCTTTATCAACCAAAGGTATACCTATAGAATTTGCGTTCGTACAAGTGATATGTATTCGTATTCCGTACTCGCTCTATTTGCAATTTCAATACAGATTTTTCCAGCGGTAACTTTTCATTTTAACAATGACGACTTGTCAAAAGCGTTAAACGAAAACGATATTCGTCATCCACGTTATGGTCGCGTTGATAATCCGAATATACTTGCCGAATATGATTGTGCTCTTCGTGATTTTACCATTGAAATGGTAAACTACGTTGCACCAACCTCTTCCAAAGCCAACTGGACAACTCTCGCACAAAGCGCTCTGCAAATCAGTCAATGTCACAACACATCACACTCTCTTCATCCACCACCACCACCACTACTACCAACATCTGCATCGACGAACACCAACAAACTCAAAACATCCTGTCATCACTCCATCTTTGTTCACCATTCCCAAGGAAACGATGCTTTCCACGGTTCCTTTCAGCAACCCATGAAAACCATCCAAGCTGCACTCCATCGAGCTCGTCTTCATCGTCAAAACACTCAAACAACACTTTGCATCATCATTCGAGCTGGCACCTACTATCTCGGTACCAACGCCTCTGAATCAACAACTTCCAGCCAACGAGGTGTCATTGCACTGACGAGTAACGACAGTAACATCGTTATTGAAAACTATGAAGATGAACGCGTTGTTCTGAGTGGTGGCACACTACTCGATCTCAAATGGTCAGTTCATTCGAAGACATCGACAGGTGCAAGCATCATGAAAGCACAGATTCCATCGTGGGTGAACGTTGATGAATTCAATGAATTGTATGTGGACGATCGACGAGCGATTGTTGCCAAGTATCCCAACGGCGATCCATCTACTCAAGGGCTGTATGCNTACGCAGATGAACGCGTTGTTCTGAGCGGTGGCACACTACTCGATCTCAAATGGTCAGTTCATTCGAAGACATCGACAGGTGCAAGCATCATGAAAGCACAGATTCCATCGTGGGTGAACGTTGATGAATTCAATGAATTGTATGTGGACGATCGACGAGCGATTGTTGCCAAGTATCCCAACGGCGATCCATCTACTCAAGGGCTGTATGCAAAAGATGCAGGCTTTTCGTATGATTCTCAAAGTTGGATTGCACCAGTTCGGCAGTCGAGCGTTGAAATTCACGTGGAAGATCCCTACAGAAATGGTACGGTGTTTCCTCATTACCAACTTGGTGTCGGTGGTGGTGCATCAGTGTTTGATCCACCGTCGAACTTCTGGAGTACAGCATCGCCCCCACAAGGTGACAATTATGTTGTTCCTCGTGGCCTAGTCGTCAAGGCTAATGCTCTTCCTCATCTTCCTCAGTGGTCGAACGCGTCCACTGGCTTCGTTCATGCATTCCACTCGGGCTACTGGGGAAGTTGGGTCTTTGAGATTGCATCGGCCAACAGTTCACAGAATACCATCATGTTCGGCCGAGGTGGCTTTCAGGAAGCACGCGGCTCGGGCGCAGGCGGTGCATTCTATGTGTCGAATGTTTTTGAAGAACTCGATTCGGCGAACGAATGGTTTCTGGACAAAACCACTCGCACTCTCTACTTCATGCCCAATCAAAGCATGCCCACCGTGTTCGTTGCTAGTCAAGTTCCGTGTCTTATCTCGTTGAGTGGCAGTAGCATCAACGATCCGATCAGAAATGTTCTCATCCAAGGTCTGACGTTTACACAAACAAGTAACACTTACATGAGAGAGTACATGGTGCCGAGTGGTGGTGATTGGTCTGTTCATCGAGGTGCAACAGTGTATTTGACGAACACACAGCAGATCTCGATCGTTCACAATGTTTTCACTGAACTGGGTAGCAACGGCATTGCAGTGATTGACTACAATGAAGAAAGTTCGGTGATGCTGAATGAGTTTGCATGGCTGGGTGATTCGGGCGTTGTTGTTGTTGGAAGCACGAATGGAATCGATGGGTATAGTATGAAGAGTCAACCGACGAACATGTTGATCTCGTCGAATCTGTTTCGTGAGACAGGTATCTATGTGAAACAGTCGTCGCCGGTGTTGATCTCAGTGAGTCGAAGTGTGCGAGTAGTGGACAATGTGATGTTCAACATGCCTCGTGCAGGTGTGAATATCAATGATGGTTATTACGGAAATCACACGATTAGTGGAAATGTGATATTTAACAGTGTTCGAGAAACAAGTGATCATGGCCCAATCAACACGTGGGATCGTCAAGTGTATTTATCAGATGGTGCAGAAGCAGGTGTACCTTCCGTTTGGCAGCATACAAGCTATATTCATCATAACCTTCTCTTTAACAACTACAATTCTTTTTATCCAATCGATCACGATGACGGTAGTTGCTTTTACGAAGACAGTTATAATTTTCAAGTTTATGGTGGAAAGAAGAATTATTTAGGTCATTCGAAAACAGATCACAATGAAATCTACGTGTATCCCGATACAAAATCTAGTCAAGGCACAGGTGTTTGCATCGCTGATCAAGCTCCGTCAAAAGGATCAAGTGGTTGGAATGAAGTTTGGGTAGAAAACACTTGCATACTATATCAAAGCCCCGTACCCTATAATATCTGGTATTGCGATACGTCTAATCTATTCGTGCCTTACCTGGCTAAGAATCGTATCTATGTTCCTGTAAGCACTCAAGTGGCATTTATCTGCAACGTTAATGGTAGTAGTGCGCGTTTAAGTCTAGACCAATGGCAGTCATATGGTTTAGATCTTGGTAGCACGGTCCAGTCAGCACCGAATATAGAAACAATTATTGATTGGGGTCGCGAAATATTACAACATAAGAACTACTCCGTAGGTGTTGTATTTTAAAAACGATGTAAACTATTTTCTTTTCATCGCTTAACGCGAATAAACTCTTTATTATCTTCGTTTGGGTAAAACAATTGCATTAGTAACATAATGAAGACAAAGGGGAAAACAACGATACTCCAAAAAGTCTGGAGTGTCATGGAATTGGGTAGAATATTGGCGGAGTAAGTTGGAGTACCGGAGTACCGCTATTCCTCTTGTTGACAGTGAAAAGTAGGCTTTAGTTATAACTCAGGGTTTTGTTCATTAACAAGATGAACAATTTACCATCGGTATTTTATAGTCGTACCTTATTGAACATGTAGAGTGAGCAATTTTCTTAAAATAGTGTAAATGTGTTGATCTATTTTTGTACAAATTCAATTCATCTATGGAAAGGTAATCCCGCAGACAACATTTGAATAATAGATATAGTCAAAGTTAAATAACACGAAACCCGACATGTACCGGTTGGAAAAGAACAACCGCTCTATCCGATTTTCATGAACATTTACAAACTGTTTCATTTCTCTCTTTCACGCAACGTCCATTGCATGTATTTCCCGCATCCTCGAGATAAAAAACACACGATGTTCATTTCGTTTATCAATGAATGAAAAGAATTCATCTATAGCACTTATGTTGCTATTGTATTATACTACAAAAGCAAAGTGATTAGAAATTAAATCGATATTTGTCAAGTCTCCTCATTTGATGACGTATACTGTTTTATACTGGAAGAGTTTGATACTCGTACGATATGGTTACACTTACCTGAAATGAAAGATCTTTTTTTGTAAATTTTGCCTCAATTTTTAGCAAGATTTGCACGTAACACTAAAAACTTATATATGAATACATAGTGTAGTGTGCGGAGTTGAATATGTAATCCACCAGAATATTACGTTACCCTCCCTTGAAAATTCGCTCTCATATAATCAGAAAAGGTATTTACATCGCCACCTTCATAAATTCTTTTGAAACAAGAGAAGTATAACTTCAGAATATTTACAATGCTATCGATAGCATCGATATTCTTTGTTTTTATGATTTATGTGCGATAAAGAATATAGTGATCGAACATGATATGTACGAATGGTAACATTTACAAGTGTAGTGACAATGTAATAAGAGCAAAGGTCATTGAATAATTAATTCGATTTAGGTAAATGCAGGTAAATCACAGGCAGATCAGAATAGTTGATATCGAACGCTATACGGAAACTTTACATGATGAAATGAGTCTGGACGAAACAACCATTTGATTGACATTAACGAGTAGAAAGCGAATATCAACAAATTCTTCCTCATACAAAACTCAATCGAACAGAAGGAGAAATAGTATCAATTGTTTCGTCAGACTAATATCAATTTATTATTGTTATCCACAAAGAAGTTTCTTTATTTTCAATTGCAAGAAAAAAACCTCTGTCAATTACACGACATGATTACATCAGATATCGATGTCCATACACTGGACGATAACTTCTATATCCATAACCAAATGTATTTCCATACATTTGACCATATGTTGGATTTGGATTACCTCCCATCATATTATCCAATGCTTTCCCAAGAGGACCTAAAATATCAAACATTCACATAAATCACCCATACACATTCTCTCAACACAACTCACTGTTTAATCCACCAGGAACGTTCTGTTCAATCCATAAGTCCGATAATAACTCATTCATCACAGCTGGATTGCGATAAGGATTATAACCATACATCTTTCTCTAATCGAATCAAACGAGATTTATAAATAATCACTATGAAATCAACAGGACCCTCATCGATCTATATATACCCATACATTTCTACTCATATTTTCGTACAAATGACGAGACACAAATCTATCTCAATGACGTTTATTTTTTGTCTTACCTTTTGCACACTCGACATATCTTTGATCGAAATGTGTCATACTAATTCATCCGTGTTCGTTATTGACGTATCAATCGGATCTACGTTGTTGATATTTTCTATGATTCACTCTTTTTTGCGCACATTCAAGTCGAACACAATAGTCAACTGTTCATCAGCGTGATCCAAAATGATTCACTCGTTCCTCAACTGACAAAACATCAACGAAATCCAACTCATGACGTGCGTGTTCTTCTTTTCCACACTATTCAGAACATCTCACCTTTGCAAGGATATTTCATTAACACAAACTACCACACTTCATCTCTAAGAAATACCTTTTCACTCTTCATCTTAATCACTCAACAACATCTTCATAAAGTGATGAACCCTCTTCAAAACGATCATAGTCATTTTATGATTATTCTTGAGGAAAGAAACTACTCTTCTCTCCGTGTGTTACTTTATGATCGTTTCAAAGTTCGTCTTATCATTGACGACTTCGTTCTCATTCTCGTTTCATCGATCACTTCATCTCTGAGAGATTCACACGATGGCTGAGAAATCCACTTATATTCTATTTGCTCTGCTCTTTCTCTTCACCATCACAGCAACTATTCTCACTGCAGTTCTCTTGGGCATTGTCGTCAATCGCCTACCATCCAACAATGCAACATCACTCGAACCACATCCTCCACTCTCATTAGTCAATCAGATCAACATCAAAGATCTCTTGAAACATCTCCAACAACTACAAGACATTGCTGATCGAAGTAATGGAACACGAGCCATCGCCACAGCTGGTTTCAATGAAACACTCGATTATATCACAAGTCAACTCGAACAAAACACCAACCTCATTGTTCAACGACAATATTTTACTGTTCGAAACTACATCATTCGAGGAAATCCACAACTACAATCACAAATCAATGGTGTCACTCTTCATCATACTTATGTCACCAATTTCACTCAAATTCTCTATTCTTCACGAGCAGATTTCGATTCGTTCGTTCCACTTGTACCCATTCCCAATGTTGGCTGTCAAGATTCTGACTGGACGAGTGTGTCAGCTGAGAATGCAGTTGCTCTCGTCAAGCGAGGTGATTGTACTTATCCAGAAAAATCGCTCTTTGCACAAAAGTATCGTGTCAAAGGACTACTCATCTACAATGATGGAACGGCATCAGATCGGTTTCTGCCGATACAAAATGTCAGAAACAATCTCAATACAACCATTCCTGCATTCTTCATTTCGTACAGTTTGGGAGTGCAATTACTCAATGGAGCACCGAATTCGTCTGTCAAGATGAATATTGATGTTAGTGATGCCGATGGTATTGGAAATATCTGTGCTGATACACCAACTGGTGAGAAAACACAAACGATTGTTGTCGGTTCACATAGTGATGGTGTGCCAGCAGGAAGTGGAATCAATGATAATGGTAAGAAGCGCATAAGAAGAAGAAGAACCATCACTCTCTTCGATATCTTTGTTGATCTCATGTTTTGTATAGGCAGTGGAACAGTTGGAAATTTGATTTTAGCTCTCAATCTAGCTCGTCTCTTTCAAACTTCATCATCTTCCTATCCAACGTATGCATATCGTGTTCGATTCTGTTGGTGGGGAGCAGAAGAGCTCGGTCTTCTCGGTGCTCGACATCATGTTGATCAAGCTTTGTTAACGAATGTGACGACCGTTGGTGAACGTCTACAAGATTATCTGTTAAATCTCAACTATGACATGTTAGCAGGTCCGAACTATCGCTTCGGTATCCATGATCGAGCAACAGTACCAAGCACAACGCCTGAACAAGCATTGCGCGGAACAGAGAAAATCACCAATCTATTTCGTCAATGGTTCAATGAGCAGAAGTTGCCATGGAGTAATTCATCATTAGGTGGTGGAAGTGATTATGTTCCGTTCTTAGCTGCTGGCTTAGCTGTTGGTGGTGTGAACACAGGTGCTGGAGGAATTAAATCAGCTAGTGAACGAGATCAATATGCAACTGTGTTGGGAATTGGGAATGGTGGACTAGCGAATGCTGCTTATGATCCATGTTATCATCAACAATGTGATCGAATCACAAATATCAATCCGTTTGCTTATGAGAAAGTGGTGAAAGCAGCTGCTCATGCTCTCGAATACATGGGACGACTAAATAACCTTCAACAATGGCTCTATCCAAACGGACGACAGATCGACATGCCACTGATCAATCGAAACCAACTGTATGACTTTCGTAACGATCCTGATTTGATCTGATCTAAATGTCATCATCGAAGACGTTTTCCATTATTCTTCTATTCGAACAATGTGTTTTTTTCTTTGTTTTCTTTCCATTATTGTCATTTTATTCATCAAGCACAAATATGTAGTTAGTATACATCTATCGTTCCCTATTAAATCCAGTGATCGCGCTCTTTGTATTTGTTTTGATCAGCCCATTGATCAAAGCAGTAAACTAGAGAAACGATATTTATGCAGTCGAGAGAAAGACTATTCTCATACTGCAATTCATCTACACGATTCTTGAACGATTTTACTCTTACAATAGCAGTCAATCTGTACACATTGCATAAATACCGTTCATTCACACATCAAATCTTTGTAGTCGATGGTGACAAACCTTTTCATTCATAGAAAGGAAAATAAACTATCACCCTCGATCCAATAGGTCATACATAACACCACTCATTTTCTTTTCGGCTCAACTGTTCGATCCCATTAACAAAATATAGTCCGCTAGTAATCATTCTTCGCTGTTTGGTCGTGCCTGTGTCACTAGTGGACTAAACAACAGTTTATTTCAGTCACACACATGGAATGAAAAGTCACTGCTCGAAGTTCTAATCCGTTTCAACGATGTGATTGGCTTATCCGAATATCGAACAGATTCGAAAATGACTCATTATCTCTGTATATGTGTCTTTGTCAGTGTCGTCCATAGAAATCGATGACGATCGACGGACTATTCATATATCAGAGTATTACCAGTTTGAACTAAATGATGCACATACACAAATATCTGGTTCGTATAATAAAGCATGTTCGTTGCCATGATCGGAAAGAATATTGTCTGTTTCTGATTNATTGGCTTATCCGAATATCGAACAGATTCGAAAATGACTCATTATCTCTGTATATGTGTCTTTGTCAGTGTCGTCCATAGAAATCGATGACGATCGACGGACTATTCATATATCAGAGTATTACCAGTTTGAACTAAATGATGCACATACACAAATATCTGGTTCGTATAATAAAGCATGTTCGTTGCCATGATCAGAAAGAATATTGTCTGTTTCTGATTGTAGGTCATCTGTTGTGTTATATTGATTGTGATTCAAAATACAAAATGCGATACGTCTGATGAACCAGTCGATGGAAGCAACGAAGGCTCTCATTTCAAAAGTAAGTATAGCTCGAGCGCGATAGGTATAGATGCAAAATCAATCACTTAGTAACGATCAGAGTCGTCTTTAGAAAATGGAATAAATTAGGGTCTTGCAATAATTATATAATCTCCGTCATTTCATATTAGAAATTGACTATCCCAATGGTGATCATTATGAAGGTGAATTCAAAGATGGACAAGAAAACGGCAAAGGTACCTTCACTTTTGCTGATGGAACGAAATATGTCGGTCCAATGAAGAATGGTCTGTTCAATGGAGAAGGTGTGCTGACATGGAAAAGTGGCGATCGATATGAAGGTACTTTTCTCGATGGGCAAAGAACTGGAAGCGGCACATACTACTTTAATAATCATGGTCAGTATGTAGGTGAATTTAAGAATGGAGATTTCCATGGAAAAGGTGTGGAGACATGGCCGAACGGTGATCGATACGAAGGAGTATTTGTAAATGGTAAAAAGACTAAAAATGGTGTCTATTATTTTGCTGATGGAACGAAATACGTTGGCACATTCAATGGTGATCTGTTCAATGGAGAAGGTGTGCTGACATGGAAAGATGGTGGTCGATATGAAGGAAAATTTGTTAGTGGTGAGAGAACTGGATCTGGTTTCTATTCTTCTGGCGATTCTGAACTATTCATTGGCTCTTTTCTTAACGGTCAATTCAACGGAGAAGGAATTTATAGATATGCAAATGGTAACTTACTCATTGGTACATGGAAGAAAGGAAAGAAGAACGGTCGAAGTAGATTAATTGATGCTGATGGCACGGTGAAAATAATTATGTGGAAAGACGACGAATTAATTAGTTAAATGCTTTTCTTTCACTAATCCATATTTATTTTGTTAATTCTTTTATAGAGCTAATAAGACTCTGATTTTGATGTAGTAAAAATGATAAAATTCAATAAATCTATTACTTCCTAGTCGATATTTACATAAAATATTTGAATCAATGGGAGTTTACGTCTCAGAAATTATGATTAATCCATTGAATACGCGAGGATTTGATATGTGAACACCTTGAATAAGAGTTGTTCAAATGATTAAGTTAGGCATAGAGAAAACGAGGAAACAGAATAGAACAAGGATCTTTGGAATTATTCGTAACTAATATGCCAGCGAATTCAAGCTTCTTAGGCATTTTGTTTCCATTTGGTGGCACGATTGGAAATTTCATTGCAGCTTATAATTAAACTGAAACTTTAGTCTGTTGGTATGGTCAAACAGTATTCATTTTTATCAAAATGATCTTATTCTCGTGATGTTAAACCAAATCAGATTTCCATCTCGTTGGTAATTTATGACGAATACAATCTTGAGCAGTCGTCTTGATATCTTCGGTATGAACACGCATATGTCGAAGAACTTTCTTCAACGATTTCAGACGATAATGTTTTGGTTCGACTAAATAACAACGGGCCCTTTACAACGCGGGTATCTTACGAAAGAGCCCATGTATGTTCAAAGTTGATATCCAAAACAGGCACGTGATCACAAGAGAAAATAAGTGAATATCGATTATAATCAGTGGTAATAACATTGTACTTCATTGTTTGATCTATTTGAATAAAAGAGAACAGAGAATTGAATCTCGCAAAGATCTTGATTGAATTCTATGAGGATTTGTCAGATGAATGACGAATGCCGCTGGTTCTGTCGGCTTTTTTCGCACAGCCAAACCTTGAGTGCTGTGGAAACCACTTACCTTATCGAAACTTTACTTCCAAAACTTCATCATACCATTAGAATTGATTGTCAACGTATGATTTTCACGTTTTGTACTAATTTCATTGATGTCATGTCTGTAGACTTCGTACCAGACCCCTGCGTACTAGAAATAGCAAGAACATAAGTAAGACTAATGTGAGAAAGGAGCTTCTCTGACTCTTGTTAGGATAAAATCCTTCGGACTTTCGATCCTCGGACACAACGGAGCTGAAGACGTTCCACATGTGAGAAAGATCATCGTCAATATCATAAAATAAATCATCATGACCTACTTTTCAATATTCAAACGAAAAAAAACTACGAGACCAGCTTGAGGGCTTTATCGAAAGCATTCGTTTTTCTCAAGATAAAACACAGATAACAAAGATCACATTCACAAAGATGAATGCGACGTCATCAACGTTTTTTAGTGCGTTATGTGATGAATATTTTTATTCATCAGAATGGTTAACATTCACAGTTTGTACTTACATTACGTTTCAAACTGTTTTCTGGTCGTACAATCTGTTTCTTCTCTATATTGAATATCACGATGTACCTTGGATTGAACGATATCGTATTCAGAAACATCGAGTCAAACTTCGTTTTCAACCCGATTTAGTTCGTCAGTTACGAAATGGAACACTCAAACATCAACTTTCATTGATTCTCACATTACCATTCTTATATCATATGCTCAATTATTTCGTTCGTGTTTCCGTACGTTCGTCGATCCCGTCAACCTCGACGATCATTTGGCAATTAACAATTTTCATCTTAGCCGAAGATTTCCTATTCTTTTGGACGCATTATTTATTTCATACACGTTGGTTATACAAACACATCCATAAACAACATCACATTTTTAAACAACCAACTGGTGTAGTCTTCGTCATTGCTGACCCATGGGAATTGCTAATACAAAATCAACTCGCTGTTTGGATTGCGCCGATCTTTTTCGAAGAGAAGCATTTGTTTACAATTTCTCTCTGGATCTTTCTACGTGTTTATCAAACAATAAATGCACACAGTGGATACGATTTACCTTACATAAGTCCGCAATATTACTTTCCATGGTTGTTATCAGGAACGTTACAACATGACTATCATCATCAACACGCAAAAATGAATTATGGCAGTTTTCTAACCCTATGGGATCGATTGATGAATACGCATCGACTGCATGACCTAGTGATCGAATAAAAACCATTCCCTTTTTTTCCCGTTTGCGTGTCATTTCACCCTGTGTTTCTTTTTCAGTCACAGAACACGAATGGGCTGTACTTCATAGAAAGAACGATTGAAAACTTTACGATCAACGCGCTTTATACGTCATTTCCCCCATCTGAGTTCTTTCACGATCCGTTCAGACTATATGTTGTTAGAGCGACTGCTCGTACTCCGGTAAATAAATGCTTGTGAAATCACGGTGACTCCTTGTTCGAAATGATTATTTGATTTGCACTCAATACGACTTTCTTCGCTACGCTTGTTATAAACTAAATGATTCAAATATAAATAATCACTTTCCACCGTGTGTTTAGTCACATTCGAACCTAAACATCACCTACTCTGGCTGCAATCTAATAAAACTAAATAATACACCATTTATTATTTGCAATATCTGGTACAGACAGTTTATACCGATAATGATCGAATGTGAAATGTAAAAGTATATCAACTTGGGTCGCGATGATCTTGAGTAATAAACGGAACCTGAAAACGAATAAATTTATCATGTTCTTAACCAAACGCGATATAGTCGTCGATTCAATGGATATACAAACCAATAGTCTCCTGCTAATAAATGTCCCGTTCAAGATGCACCCATTTATGAAATGTCACCATAAACTATACTCGCAGTACGACATTGCAGCGATTGATTGAAATGTAATAATAAATCAATTATTCATCATGACTCACTACGACTTGCCTCTACAGTACGTGAGATGAGATTTGATCTGAGAGAGAAAAAAAATGATATTGTAACCATGTGCTTTAATTGCACTTCAAAAATTACGATCAAATCGCAGGTAGTCGGGTCAAAAATATAAGGTCGATGTACAAACTTTCAAATCGAGTGATACGTAGGTGCACAAGAACGAGTAAATATAATCTATTCATTTCCGACCAAGATTTAATACGTATAATTCATCCATTATACACCTGGGAATATTCATCTGTCACAGTTTTCTTCATTGTTCTTAATATCTCGAAAGGGTTTACTCAGAAAGAACATAAGGTACAAGAAAGAAGTATTTTATTGGATGTTTTGAGTTCGAAATCGCGGACCTAGCCAATCAGAAGTAGATAGAGAGAGAAAGAGAGCACAAAGTAAGAGAAAAGTGACAATACGAGAGATATCAGAGACCGACAGAGCGTTTTTTTTNGGGAATATTCATCTGTCACAGTTTTCTTCATTGTTCTTAATATCTCGAAAGGGTTTACTCAGAAAGAACATAAGGTACAAGAAAGAAGTATTTTATTGGATGTTTTGAGTTCGAAATCGCGGACCTAGCCAATCAGAAGTAGATAGAGAGAGAAAGAGAGCACAAAGTAAGAGAAAAGTGACAATACGAGAGATATCAGAGACCGACAGAGCGTTTTTTTTTCGAAAACGATTATCATTCAATTGATAGCATTTACCTTACGAATATTTCGTCATTTGTATTGAGGTGAATCAAACGAACGCCGTTCTCATATTTTTTCCTACAAGTAAGGTGCACTTCGAATTGCGGTGACTCAAACTCAGGCTTGTTAAACTTCCACTTCATTGTTCAACGAAATTTCGAAAGCTGACCGATGTCTGATTGGCTAACCTTACTCACTTCAATCGTCACCGATATCTTAGCATTCAGTCGTAGTAATACAATGTTTGTCATATGTCCCCCGGTTGCCGTTGCAGTTACCAAGTATCTCTCCAGTGACTTATCTATATCACATTTATTTCATCCGTGGCTATCGAGTTTCATTTATTTATACCTTTACATTCTACAATTCAATATCAATAATGATATCGCAGGCGTCGAAGGCGATCGAATTGGTAAACCTTGGCGACCTATTCCTTCAAATCGTATTAGTATTGAACGGGCCTGGAAACTCTATTTCATCGTTGTCATAATTTATTTTCTTTATTCTTGTTATATCAATCATGTGTTTTGCTGTATTCTGTGGATTGTGTCGACAATTATTTTGAACTTCACTTCAATTCAAAACACAAGTGTTGGAAAAAACTCCATGATAGCTCCGGCTACGTACGCAATGGTGGCTGTTATCTGGTGTTTAGTAAACAATGTTTCGAATATACTGGATCATCCGCATGTTCTATGGAATTTGATCTTCAATTCAGTAATCACGGCTGCCGTTGCTGTTCAACAAGATATGAGAGATGTTGAAGGAGATCGTGTCCAAGGTAGACGAACGTACTCGGTCGTCATGGGAAGTCCACAAGCAGAAAAATTCATCGCGAAGATCGTGCTCTGTGCATTGATTTGTCTTCTTTTCGAAGGATATTTAATCGAACAAAAACGCCTAGTCAGTAAAATAACATATATGTTACTTAATTGCTTTCTGTATGGACTTATGATTGTACGGAACTGGTATTCGTATGATGTACGTAAAACGTATGAATTTTATAATCAATTAACTTTCTTTTTCTATCTTTTTATGACACCAATTGTTAATACGAATTGAATTCTAGTGTTTTTCCTTTTTCTTTTTTTAGAAAGTTCTACAGTCTATCTGAACAAAGTCTGGATAAATAATTGTTTTTTTATATATTTGATATTTTGTTTTAAAAATACACAGTCATTTCTATCTTTGACTTAAATCTATTCGAACTTGTTCTAGGATCATGTACAAGAGAATCATATGATTTGATTTTCTAATTGCAATGAATATACGATTTGTCATCAACCTAGATTTTTGTCTGTCATAGTTTGATTTATCATGTCAAATAAGTCATTGTTAAGAAAACGTTAATTTCAACGACGGAAAAGCATGTATTTATGTTGTTTATTCGATGACATTCGTATTTAAAAGCAACGACATATCAGGTACGAAAAATAATCACGAATAAGAGTTCTGCTGCATAGTTCGGGTGGGAAAATCCGTACTATTCGATCTTCTTCTAAAGATTCTATGGCCAACTGAAACAGAATGTATACATCGGTTCCTTTCATTCTGTAGCTGTGCCGTACAATCAGCCACATTTATGTTCAACGGCATCATGGAATACACATGGAATCATTTTCGCGGATAAGAGGGTGGCTGGAGTTAGACCTGTAGCAGTGTTTGTTAATTCAAACAATACAGTTTATATCGAGAACCGAGAGAAGAATCAAATTTTGATCTGGTTTAATCAAGAGCGCATATCCAATGAGAATCTATGTTGATAAGTATGCGAGCTTAAACTCGATTTTTGTAACAGATAGCGGAGATATTTTGATTGATGACGGTGCACTCAACGTTCGAGTGGATAAAGGTATACGGGAGACAAAAACATTTGTTTCTGCAATGAATACTAATAGATCGCGTTTGGGGCCTTTTTGTTGATGTAAACGACGTTCTATATCGTTCAGCGTATGAATACGATCAAGTTGTAAAACAACGATCGGATGAAACTCGAGGTAGCTGCTGGAACAGGCATTGCCGAATCTGCTTTGAATGAACCTATCGGACCACATGGGATTTTTGACAGTGCCCATTTGAATTTATACGTAACAGACTGTAATAATAATCGAGTTTCATTGTTCGAATTCGGTCATTCCGGTGGAATCGTAATAGCAGGAAAGGAGTCGAACAGTGTAACTATTGACCTTTACCATCCGTCTGGAGTTATTCAAAGTTTAATAAAAAGCTGCATATCAAACCAATTGAAATACTCGCTTTAGCTTCAAAATCATACCAAATAATTACATCCTAATTGTAACAAAGAATTTTTCGAATATAACAGGAGATCTTACGATATTTATCACTGGTCCTGGTACAATTGATCTGCAGAGCGTCCGTAAGTATTCGTACCGTATATAAAAAAACCGGATGTGCGTGACACATTAGTTATATACGTAAATACTTCATCATTGCCACAACTGTCGTTCTCACCAGTATTTCAATTGCGATATGCATCGGCACTAACAGAACATAGTCAAACATATTCTCGAGATTGATTAAAGTCCAATTATTATTACGAAGCGATACGGTTAACTGTGTTTGAAAATGATTATTACGGTTCAACGGGTCGAGGTAATGTTGGGACATTTGGTGATGTCTATATCGATAAATTCGAACCAATTAATCCCTTCAAAAATTTACTTGAACAAAATTACCGTAGTTGCGACGCTCACATTAACTCCAATATTGTCTCTTATCTTGAATCTGGTGTAACGTACGTGCTAGTAGTAACAACGTTTTTACCAAATCTAACGGGAAACTTTTCGATTCTCGTGACTGGTCCGAATAATGTCACTCTTTATCGCTTTAATAAGTGTATTTACCACTCGAGCTCTCATTTGATTTTTGTTTAGCCAAAGTCGTTACCAATTGTTCCGTCGATGAGAAATTCGATTGTATGCGCAAAACATTGGTATAACCCTTGATGACATTCTACGCGAAGAACTCCAATGGAACATACCGTTGACCATTCAGTCGAAATTGGTCAAAACAGGCGTAGTTTTGACAATGATCATGTTTCTCGTCGGTTTAATCAATAGCTCTCTAGTCATCATAACATTCCGACATGAACAACTGAGAAAAGTCGGTTGTGGAATTTATCTATTAACCGCTTCGGTTACTTCTCTATTCACGATCAGTATTTTTCTCCGTTAAATTTTGGTATCCTGTTCTTCACCGAGGCTGTCGAAACACTATTGAAGTTCTTCTTATATTTCGATGCTTGAGTCAAAAAATGCGTGCGTAACAATTGAATGGGCGACTCTTGTCATAAAAGAGGTCTACTTCGATAAAATGAAAAGTCAACGCGTAGCTCCATGGGTAATTCTCCTTCTCTTCATCGGTATCATGGGTTCGATCATTCATGACTCACTCCATCGGAAGTTGCTCGAAGTGAATCGCGATATGACTGGAGTAGGAAAATATGCTTTATGCACAACACGTTATCCTTCTTTTCTTCAATCTTATAACACAATCATACTATTTCTGCATCTTGTCATTGCATTTGTTGCCGATCTCTTTTCTGCCTTGCTTATCGTATTTGACTCTGCGGGGCAACGATCAGTAACTGCAAAAAGAAAGACATATCGAGAATACGTCTATCAACAATTGCAAGAGCACAAACAGTTACTGATCAGTCTCATCCCCTTGTTAGCTTTGCCATTACCTCATCTGACCATGGTACTTTCCGTCGATACTTATTTTTATCATATTTGTTCTCCCATCCGATTTGTACAAGAAAACATTTCGAGCGCGCATCCTGCTATGGAAATAGAAAGTTTTTCGTACAAAACAACACTCTATACGCGATGACTTCGGGGACATTGCATAATGTACGTTTCGTTGCGTAGTGATGATTAAAGTAGAGCAGAAACAATATATCTGGGCACGGCGTGCGCGAAAGAGAAAATAAATTACGTTTTTGATAAGTCAATTCAGTTTGATTCCACAAATATACTAAAATATAACCAATGATTGCTTTTCTTTTTTGCGGTGTCAGCAAACACCAATATAGCTTCGATAAATAAATTCCTTTCATGCGTTCATTTGACCGTGCATGAAACAAATGATCGATCTTCCTCAACCATCACACCCGATGTGATCCCACTACTTCATATCAATTGCTTTCACTCCCCGAATGCTAACTTACCTAAACTTGTACACATCCGACTACTCGAGAGATCAATCTACAAACAGCATACTTCATATAAAATATTTATTTTACTCTCAGAAAAATATATTATTTTCATTTCACATTGTGATTGTTTACATATTTTAAAAAATGAGCACGATCAAAAGAGAATCAATTGAGCAACTTGTCATTCTTCCAGACACCTTCTTGAATATTATCATCAGCAGATATCTTTTTACCGGAGCCATTTTTCTTTCCGTTTTCCCAGTTGCCGATAAATATCTTACCATCTGCATATACATTCATGCCTTGGCCGTTAAACCGGCCTTTAAGAAAGGAACCATAATACACGTCAGATGTATGACGACGATAAACACCATTTCCAGTTCTTGAACCATCGAGAAAGCTGCCTTCAACTCCATAGATTGAAACACAAGTCAAATACATAAGTAGAGAAGTGACTGTCATGTTAACCATTGTTCCGATAACACTGTATCTAGCTCACGAGTTTGCCATCCTTCCAAACACCTTTCTTAACCTTACCATACTTCGTTCTACTTTCTCAGTTACCCTCAAAGACGTCACCATTCGCATAGTAGAATTTACTATGTCCAGTTTTTTCGTTATCTACAAAAGTACCTTCGAAGCGATCACCACTTTTCCAAGTCAGTACACCTTTTCCATTATAATCTCCATTCTTGAACGAACCCACATATTTTATTCCTTCAGTAAATTTGAAAGTTCCAAAGCCATGCTTTTTGCCATTCACGAATTCAC